ATTTGATCCAATAGCATTGCAGCAACTGATCCTAATAACTACAAATTGAGAAAACCAAGAATCAATAACCACAAAATATGACTGCATGTGAAAACTGAATTGCACTAATATATGCTATATGTGACACTGGTAATCGATTACAAGAAATGGATAATCGATTACCAGAAAACCTTTTAATAAGTAAATTTTGAACATATGATTTTCATTGTCTCGTAATCGATTACATGTATAGGTAATCGATTACCAGACTCTTAAAACAATAGTTTCCTCATTAAAGACGCCCAGTTTGTGAGGGATTCAACCCAGTTAGTGACGAATTTTATCCGTCGCAAATTGTGACAGAATTATGGCGTCGCAAATTGTGACGGATTCTACTCAATAATAGGCATCACAGTTTGTGACGGATTTTCTTCGTCGCAAATTGTGACGGATTCGTTCATCACAATTTGTGAGGGACTCACATACCTCTCAATCCCTCTCAAATTGCGAGGGGTTTAATCCCTCACAAATTGCGAGGGATTTAATCCCTCACAAATTGCGACGGATTTTTATTAATTTCTAAACATTTATTGTTAGAAATTAGTGACGGAAATTATACTGTTTGTGATGCCTTAATTCCGTCACTAATTGTGACGGAGAAAATAATCCATCACTAAATATTTTGTGACGCCAAATTTTGTGACGGAATCAATTCCGTCACAAATTCCGTCACTAATTTATTTGTGACGGATTTTATGAAGATTAGTGACGGATTTGTTCCCTCTCTAATTTTAATTTTTCTAGTAGTGCATGTTCTACATCAAATTTCAACGATCCAACCGTTGAATTTAAAGTTCTTAATGCATAGATCAAATCTAAATTTTTTAAAAATGAAGTATTAAATAATTTTCAAATTTATTTAAAATTGCAGATTTGATCTATGCATTAAAAACTTTAAATTCAACATTGAATTATTGGAATTTGATGTAGAACATGAGTTATTAAACGAAATAAGTCTAAGTAGACTTACTCCTAAAATAAACGAATCTCTCTTCTCTTTCTCTCTATATATAAGGAGGGTTATAATAAGACCGATGTATAAATACATATTTTATAAATGCTCTCTCAAAAAAAAAACTTGTTGCATGTTACACCAACAACTAAAATCAATCACAATGCTACTCTACCAATTTCACTTGCCCCTTCTGCATTTCTGGTAATAACTCCAACAGGCTCCACAGGTATAGCAAAATTCATGGCCACATCTACAAACAAGTTGATCACAAATAAAATCAGAATATAACAGTGAGCCAACACCAGAAAAAAAAAAAAGAAAAAAAAAACTGAATAAATGTCGAGTCCATAAGAAAAGTTTGGTTTGAAACATGTACATTACAATTACAAACCTGTAAGAAATATGAATACATCCTGCGACTTTTTCCACATAGAATTTTGGACATCTTTTCCAACTTTTGCTCTTGGCAAGTTCCATAACCATTAGATCTTCCCTTTCCTTCTCATGAGGCTTCAAATTCTGAAACTCCTCACAGTTTATTCCTGCATGCCATGAAACCTTGCACTGTGCACAAAACAACCTATTACAATGAGGACATTCCGAAGAAGTCATAACTTCCTCAGTATCAGATATCAACATAGCTGAGCAATCCTTAAAAGGGCAGTAAAACTTTTGTGATCCAGGGATCAAATTCTCACAAAGAGCATTTTCCCATCTTTCAACCACTTTCTTAGGTTTGATTGAACGACAATACTGAGGCCCCACAACATCCTAGCATTTGGGGTCAGGACATTTGACCTTTGATATATATTCTCTTGAATCTTTACAGCCACATATTTCCCAAAACAATCATCACAGAAAGAGTGAGAACAGTTTTGGCTCCTGAACATTTCTTCACCACGTTTTGCATCCATGAAAATACCACAGAAGAATAGGGACAACTCATCAGTTTCTTTCTGTTTTCCTTTGAGGTTTCTCAAACGAGTGTCATCATCATTTTTAACTATAGTACTTAACATTGCAGACAAATTTAGGGCTTCTTGTAGATGTAGCTCTTCTGCATATTTCTCATCAGTGATTGGAAATATTTTTTCAGCATCGTGTAGAGCTCAAAACAAAAAAGCCAAGTCATGATCTTGAGGAGTAGAGGGCAAAGTCCTTGATGCTGATGAAGTTCCCCCCATACCTCAAAATATTTTTTTCATAAGCAAAACATTTATGCTGTGTATGATGTTTATTTTTTTTGTTGACTGTACGTGGCTTTATTTTAAATCAAAATTAAAAAAAAGGTTTTTAAGAAAAATTAGGCAGTTAATATTTGATTTGATTTGATCTTACTTTGTTTTTTATAACATCATGATGTAATTAGGGCGGTTGATAGTTTTGTTTTATATTATGTAATGTAACGATAAATTAAAATATAGGGATTTAAGTATTTTTTTTTATAAAATTATAGAAACTCATGAATTAATTTAACTTTAATTTAATTTAATTTATTTATATTTTTATAATATTTTATTTTATGATTTTTTGCAATCATTATTAGCTTTCTTGTCAACTATAGTTAGGATATTGATTTAGCTTTTCAAAATAGCATAATGTTGAAATTTTTTGAACCAATGTCATAACACGTAACAGGTCCAGTTTTAAAAATTATCGATGATTGAAGTAATTAAGGTAATTATATAAAAAAATATATTTTGATTACTAAATCAATTAACTTATTAAATTTTATATAGATTTTTTATTTTGTATAATACGGTAAGTACTAAATTATTAAATATTATAGATTGCTTTTGTAATTATGGTAATTAATAACTAAGTTATCCTTTTTTTCATTCTTAGTTTATAAAAGCAAATAATTACATTAATTATAATAATTATAATTTTTTTAACACCGATAATAATTATAATTTTTATGATTCGGTCATTAAAATTAATAACAAAAACATATATATTCAAATTTCAAATTAATTAATAATATGAATACATATTCTAATTCTAATTGACAGTTGATTCAGATTATTATTTATTTATTTATTGTATGCTTTAATTTTAATGAAACAGTTTTTTTTTTTTTTTTTACATAATTCTAACCATGAGGGATTGTTCTTTTGCTAAAACTCTTTGATTAAAACTGGCTGGTTCCAACTTAAGTACAGGTTTTTTTGGAGCAAGATCCCCCTAATCGATTCCTTTATAATCTGTCAAATGCAATACGCAAAATATATCCTATGAACTATTGGAATATTATTTTTGGGCTCGTATTAATTTTATACTCTTTTGATAAACAAAAACGATGTTAATTTTTGTGGCATATCATTCTGTATCCTCCCCTCTCCTATTCAGCAACACTCTTATATACATCTGACGCTATTTATTATCAGCAATTCGTTAATTTAAAAATATTTATTTAGTCATAAGATTGCCATATATATATAAACTTTAATAAAATCCCACTATTACTTCTATTAAAAAAAAGTATCTAATAAATTTTTTAACTAGTATCCGTAATTAAAATACTTCTTGACAACAGGATTTTTTTTGGGTACACACAACTCGATTTCCTTTTAGTTCTCTTGTATTAATTATCTTCAATTTTCCATTCTATGGTAATGCTAAGCACAACATACGAGTGAAATAGTTTAACCAAAATAAGTTTATTTAATAAAAAATATTCTTTTATGAGAAAATAACTTGTTTTTATTAGCTAACCGAAGTACAGTACTAACTTATTATATCTTATAATTATTTTTTCAATTGTATCATTCATAATTTACTTAAAATCCATATTTACTTTTTAAGGTTTATAAACCATTTTGCCTATTGTAGAATGCCAAAAAGTTACAAACTTATACCAGAACCTAATCCAAATTTGATCATCCTCTGAGAGCAATGAAATGACATAAAAGCACTTGCATCTTCTCAAGGAACAGATAAATTAAAGATCAAGATTCATTCAAAAACTTAAATGATGACAACCAATCCATATATATTCCAAAGTTTAAGGGAAGATAATTCAACATACCATTAGCGAATATTAAAAAGCTAGGTTTCATTTACTTGAAAGTGTGTCACTAATTAGCTCGCAAGACATTGCTGCTTTGCACTTGATATTTCATTTGTCTCCAGAAATCCTTAAGGAAGCCCACATGCATGATTCGAATTCCAAGAGGATCCACAGGCATAGCAAAAGTGGTTACCACATCTGCATACAAATTGATTACAAAGTATTAGAACAGAATAACAATGACTCAGCACAAAAACTACAATGCTACTAGAATCAAAAAAGAAGGCCATATTTTTTTTGTTGCATTAAAACTAAGCACGCATAAATATAATCAATTAATTGAAATCATCACTGCAAACAAATATTATAATTCATAACAAAAGAAGATTATCTTGAAACATGCACATAACCAACCTGCAAGTAATATGTGAACATCCATCAGCTTTTTCGACATAGAACTTGCATTTTGAACATCTTCTCCAACTTTTATTCTTAGCAAGTTCCATAACCATTAGATCTTCCCTTCCGCTTTCATACTGCTTCAAATTCTGAAACTCTCCACACTCTATTCCTGAATGCCATGAAACCTTGCACCGTGCACAAAACAGCCTATTACAATGTGGACATTCCGAAACAGTCACAATTTCCTCAGCATCAGATATCAACATAGCTGAGCAATCCTTAAAAGGACAATAAAACTTTTCTGATCCAAGGAAAAAATTCTCACAAAGGGCATTTTCCCATCTATCTATCACTTCCTTAGGGATGATTGAACGACAGTACTGTGGCTCTACAACGCCCTTGCACTTGGGGTCAGGACACTGCACAGTTGATATATTCTCTTGAATCTTTGCAGCCACATATTTGCCAATACAATCATCACAAAAGGAGTGTGAACAGTTTTGGTTCCTGAACATTTCTTCCCTAGTTTTGGCATCCATGCAAATACCACAATAGACCAGAGAAGATTCACCAGTCTCTTTCAGTTTCCCTTTGAATGATCTCAAAAGGGTGTCAGTGTCAGTGTCAGTGTCACTGTCAACTTCTAAATCGATTAGGATAACTTCTTTTTCAACTCTAGTACTTGGCAATACAGAGGAATACAAGGCTTCTTGTAGTTGTATCTCTTCTGCATATTTCTCATCTGAAATTGGAAATATTTCTTCAGCATCGTAAAGGGCTGAAAAGTAGAAATCATCAACTAAAAGATGATCTTCAGAAGTAGAGGGCAATGTCATAGATGAAGAAGCTCCCTCCATCTCCCACAATAAAGTTTTCAATAAGCAAAAATAGTGTGCATCGTATATGCTATACATTTAAATTTATATATCCAAGAGGATCCGTGTGACGTATGTACAGAGTAGAATGAGAAACCATTGGGGTTGGAAAATCATATAAAATGATAATGACTAATCTTAAATATTTGACCATTTTGTATGAATTGTAACCACTGGGTATGCAAAAGCCAGCGTTGGAATTTACATTAGTCTGACTACTAATAAATGTCACAGCATGGCAATATAGGAAAATAACTAAAGGCAATAGTTCCCAAGGACGGTTCATAACTCGAAACGATCACGTAAAACTCTATCAGGGAACTTTGGCGGTTGCTTGATGCAGGTTACACAGTACACTACTATACACAAGTGTATGTGCAGTTTTTAAATTTAATGTTCAAAATATCTTTCCTTTTAAATTATTTATCGTAATATTCTTCTTTTGTTGTGCATTGAGAAGTTGGGACTACTTTTCAATGTTTTTCTTTTTATTATTTTTTATTTTTAATTTATAAATATATATATTTTTAATATATTTTTAAAATATAAAAATAAAAATTATAATAAAATAAATTATTATAGTAATTGTACTAACCGTATTTCGCACCCGGGCTTTGAGTCCGGATTAGCAATACAAAACAATCCCGGGCACGCGCTGCGCGACGTCAGCCCGGTATTTGAGCAAATCATACCTGATTCCGAGGATCTCGTCCCAGACCAGATCCGCCCTTCATTTATATCATATCATATCATGATATATCTTATCTCAAGCCCAAAAGCCCAAGGCAAACCTGGATCACCCCAAGGTACGTGCATTATATATATGAGACTATTACTCATGCAAACGCTAACTTTGGCATCAGAGTCTCTTTTGCAGGTACCTCCCCCATCTTGGAGCACCAATACACCGGGCAAAGGAGACTCACCGATCTTACTGGACGGACCAGCTCTATAGCAGATTTTCGGTAAGAACATTTGGCGCCCACCGTGGGGCCGATCGAGAAAGCCCTCATCGGCCACCTGTATGGTTTCTACTAGAAGCCACATTAGACGAGCAATAGAAGACGCTGGACACTCAGTCACCATGGACAGCGACGCTGCGACCTTGAGAAGGCTAATCGACCAAGTCGAACAGATGCGCCAGCAGCATGACGCTGACCTGCGCAACACGCGTGCCCAGCACGAAAGTGACATAGCGGCGATACGGACCGCCAATGAAGCAGACCTCGCAGCATTACGAGCCGAGAATGAGTACATTCGCGCCCAGCTCCCTCGACACCTTGGTAACGTCTCCGACTCTCAGCTCAACCTCAGCGGAGCAACGCGGAGTGGGGCAAATCTGGAACCCGGATCAACCCTCTCACGGGAGGTAATCGGTGCGATCGCAGGAGGCTTCACAGGAGGGGGAGCCAGCAGCTCGGCCCGCAAGAAACACCTGCGCAAGGTTAATCGCGTACACTCCGCCACCTGTGCTTTACGCCGGAACCCGCCAGTGATAACTTTCACCGACGACGACTATGTCGGGGTCAGCCGAAATCAAGACGATCCCATGGTCATAGCTGTGGCATTGGCCAATTGGGAAGTTCGCAAGACCTTGGTCGACCAAGGAAGCTCGGCCGACATCCTATACTGGCCAACATTCCTCAGGTTAGACATCCCCCACTCTCTCATACAACCTCATACCGAACCTCTAGTCGGTTTTGCAGGGAAAAGCATTCACACTCGGGGATATGTGGACCTACTGACGACTTTCGGAGCACCCCCGGTTTCCAGACAGGTCCTGATACGATACCTACTCGTGGAAGCCGACACCCCCTATAACGTCATCATCGGTAGACCAACCCTAAATCAGCTCGGGGCGGTGGTGTCCACCCCGCACCTCACCATGAAATTTCCAGGGCACGATAGCAAATCAACAGGTAGCGCGGCAATGCTACGCAGAAAGCCTGGAAACCGTCTCACCGAGCGAACAGCGCAAGAACGACCTTACCGCTCTGGCTCACACCGACCACGAAGAAATCACCGATCTCGACCCGAGATCCGACACTCATGACGAACGACCCAGCCCCGTCAATGAGCTTGACGACCTTCAAATCGGCAAACTCCCCGGACAAACCACAAAGATCAACCGGCAATTAACCCCCAAACTACGACAGCAACTCCAAGCGGAGATCCTCAAGAACGTTGACCTCTTCGCCTGGTCTAGCACTGACATGCCCGGTATAGACGCAGACTTCATCTGCCACAGATTAGCAATACATAAGGAAGCAAAACCAGTCGCCCAGAGAAAGAGGAAGGTCGGCGGCGAAAGACGGGAAGCCGTCATTATCGAAACGAGAAGTTGCTCAACGCTGGCTTCATCCGTGAAGTCAGGTACACCACATGGCTGGCAAACGTGGTCCTAGTAAAGAAGCACTCGAGAAAGTGGTGTATGTGCGTCGACTATACAGACCTCAACAAAGCATGCCCCAAGGACTCATACCCCTTGCCCTACCCCAACATATATATATAATAATAATAAAAAGAAATATCTTATTGGATACAAAAAATATTTAAAATTGAAACAACAATTCCAATAATCATGTGAGTAGAGAATTCACATTCATGTCTTTAATCCAAATAGCAAATAAAATTACAAAGAATAAAATATAGATATTTTCTTTTCTCACTGTACAATTTGTGGATGTTTTAGGTGAGGAAGTTCCGGCTTTGAGTGACATCTAGAATGCCAACAATTGAATTATGGGTATGCTTTGATATTGTGACATCGGGGCAGAGGATTTCTAGGAAATGAATTGTATTTGTATATGGGGTTGAACCTATTATTTTGAAAACATTTTGTAACCTCTTATGTTTTATTTTCCAAGTTTCATTTTCAGAATATTTTGGATATTGAAGAATGTTTCTAAAGGTTTTTATGTGAACCCTTTTACCTATGTTGAAAATTTTATTTCCTTAGTTTATTTTCATTATTACAATATATGTGTTGGGGGTAGTAAGGGTGTCACATTTAGTGGTATTAGAGCATGTCGATCCAATCGGCCGTGAGTTATGAGTCTACTATGATTGTTTGGTAGATGAATGATGGAATGAATTGATTGTGGAACTTATTGATATGCTAGTATGATGATTGATTATGTTTGTTATTATTTAATTGTGTGTACTCTAACAATGTTTACTTTATGATGAGGATAATGATGATGATATTGATGTTTCCCTTGTGTTGTTTGTAACACCCCAGTTTTCAATAAAGTTATTATTATTATTATTATTATAATAATTATTATTATTATATGGTATTTGGTCATAATTATTTTAATAATTATAGAAGAATATTATTTTGTACGTTTTAAATAATTATTGTTTTGGACAATTATTTTGTACGTATTAAATAAGTATTTTTTATTAGCATATTTAAATAAATATTTATATGTTTTAAGAGAAGGTTGATTTTATATGATATTTTGTTATTGAAATTATATTATTATATTTTGGGTCAGAAATATATTATTATTATAGAGGAAAAATATTTTATAATATACATGTATTTATTTTATTTAATTATT